ACTATATATATATATACCCATTATAGTAACTTAATTCAAGTTCCTTAACCCTAAACCCTAGATAGTAGTTTCCATTTTGTTTATTTTCCATTATCCTTATGTACACCCTCTATTATCGTAACTTAATTCAAGTTCCTTAACACTAAGCCCTATATAGCCGTATATACCCCTATAACCCCTATATTATGGTAGCTTAATTCAAGTTCCTTAACAGCAACCCAGATATAGGTACTTAGCCTAAACCCTAAATAGTAGCTTCCATTTTATTTTCCAGTATCCCCAGATAACCCCAACATAATCCAAATATAACCCTAAACCGCTCAACCCTAAAACCCTAAACCGCATATTCTATCTACCTTTAGGGGGACTATAAACCCTAAAGCCCCAAGCCCTGAACCCTAAGCATTCTCTATCTAGGATCCTTCGGGGCTCCTTAACAGCAACCTAGTATCATTGGGCCGGAGGGTAAGAGCAGCTTCTCCTGGGCTGCGGCTAAGGAACTTACACTTGGGCTTGGGGGAAAGGGGGGGTGTAGCATAATCGCATACAATATAATATACTATAGTATAATATAGTATAATATGGTATCAGGGCTAAGGATTTAGGACTAAGTGAGAAGAACATATTCGAAAATGAAGCGGAAGCTTGGGTTCTATAGGCGTTACATAGGCTGTTAAGGCAATTAAACTGCGCTACTGTAACCAGACAACCTATATACCCGTAGTATCAATGAAGCCTCCAGGCGGGTCGTTAGACCCTTGCACGAGTTGCGTGAACCTTATATGAGCTCTAGTCTAAACTCCTAGTATCCCCCTTGGTAACCCCTAAAATAGTCCCTATGTAATCCCTTATAAAACCCATTTCGGGAGTTCAGACAAACCCCAAACCTAAACCTAAATTCTAAACCCTAAATCCTAAACCCTATATAATCCCCTATATAACCCCCCCTTTCAGGACTTTTGACTATAGTACACATGGGAGTACCCACCTAGTCACTGCCAACCGGGGATTAAGGGTTTAGGCTTCAAAGTTTGGGGTTTAGTGTTTAAGGTTTAGGGTTTTGGGGTTTGGGGTTTAAGGTTTAGGGTAAGTTCCTTAATAATACTCATATAAAGGGACTTTATTGGGAACCCCAAGCAGGGAACCCCAAGAATATAGTAGGAATACAATAGGAATACCCAGGGTCCTTATATTCTATTCTATTCTATTCTTACTATATTCTCGGAGGTCCCACTTTGGGGTTCCCATTAAAGTCCTTTTAGAATACTAACAGCAGCCCAGCCCCTCTAGTTACCATAATTTCAGAATCCCTAAACCCTAAACCCGAAACCCTACACCCTAAATTAGGGTTTAGGGTTCAGGGTTTATGGTTTAGGGTTTAGGGTGCGGGAAAGCCATACTTACTATGCTGCCAACATGGGCGTGTCCTTGACGTTATGGTAGCTGTGAGAAATTCCTTAATGGTAACAGAGTGTAGGGTTTCAGGGTTTAGGGTTTGGGTTTTAGGGTTTAGGGTTTGCTGTTTAGGGCTGGCAGCCCAATCTCTCTGTATGTTCCTTTCGCCACCGACACGAAGGCTGTGCCACAATCCTTTGGCACAGCAGCCAGGGCCTCCGCCACCGTGGCGAAGCAGTTCGTCGAGGAGCAGTCACCCCCAACCTTGGTTTAGGGTTTAGGGTTTATTGGGCTTAGGGTTAGGGTTTAGAGGGCTTAGGGTTTAGGGTTTAGGGTTTATACGGCTTAGGGTTGAGGGTTTATAGGGCTTAGGGTTTAGGGTTTGTAGGGCTTAGGGTTTAGGTTTTGTAGGGCTTAGGGTTTAGGGTTTCGGGTGGTGCGTTAAGGGCCCCCACTGTTATTTGTGAATGGCGTCCATTATCCAACAATAAGGAGAAGTTCTCAATTATCCCAAAATGTCACCTACTTGTATTTTTTGCAGGTTGTATGAAACTATGAGATAGGTTCTATAGCGGGCTTAGGTATACATCAAACTGCAAAATGCCAATCAACAGCAACCCCACGACTTGTGCGGTCCACCCCGGGTCGGCTGCTGAAGCAACGGGCGCCAGTAGCCTGGGTTGCTCCTAAGAACCTTGATTTGATTTTCTATACTAGTGAAACCATATTAATCGTTATACCCGAATTATAATGACATATGGGTGGTTGTCAAAATTATGGTCCCTTTGTAGGTCCCTATTATAATACGGCACCTAATATTTAGGGTACACAAAAAAGGACCCATAATTTTGACAACCACCCATATGGTAACTTAACTCAAGTTCCGGAACAACAACCAAGTAGCGTCTGTACCGTCGAGGCCGCCAGGGTGCCGACCAGAAGCCTCCGAGAAGGCCTACCGGCATCAAGCAGATCCAGGGTGGTGAAGGTGCAGGTCCCGAGAAGGACCGAAGCTCCTTGTAGCAAAACCAGCCCAGCCAGGCAGCACGCCGAAATCGCGAGCCGCGAAGCGCGCCTCGAATGCATCCTCTCTTTGCCGGCCCGCAACGGCATGGATGCGAATCTACTAAGGCCAAGGGTTTCAGGATTGCAGCGTTGAGTGGGTTTCTCTAAACAACCGCAAGAGAAAAGGCGGGGAAACGTGAGCTGAATTGGGAGCAGCTTGGCGATGCTTTCTGGATGTACGACCTTTGGGGCACAACCCCGGCACCTTTGATACGGAGACAAGTCACTTTCCGCAATCTGCACAAACATCAACAGCATCAGCCACAGTGAAAGGTCACTGCGGTGAGGATCCGGTGGGAGTAGCCAGTACAGCGAGTTCACGAAATTAGTTTGGGCAGCTACTCTAACCCTAAGGCGAATATCTGGTTTAGGGTACAGGGTTTTCATGACTAGAGCATCCCTGTTTTGGCACACTGCTCGCTTTGCCTCGCTTGGAGGGGGGTTCCTCGAACTCCGAGGCGTAAGGAGCTAATGAGGCCCATAAGGGCTTAATAAAGCCCCATAGGGACCCCATAACCACTTTGTAACCCCCGCATATTCCCTGTATCCCTGCGGTACCCCGTGAGAAACCTTACACTCAAACCTTTACCCCTGAAACCTACGCCCTGCAGGCAACCTAAGGGTACCCCGAGAAACCTCCCACTAACCCTTGGGCGGCTCTATACCTACTTAGTCCCACTGACACCCCAAGTACTAACAAGTGTAATGCCATGTGAATTCATTCATACTCTCGCTTATTGTAGTATTATGAAGACAAATCATATTGACGAAGCAGTGTACGATATGCAGGTTATCACATGAAACTTAGAAACAATTCGTACCACCCCTAGGAATGGTTAGATTTCAAATTCGCAGGCCTTCGATACTTATTTTTGACCTTGCCAGCAATTAAAGCACAAACACCAACCACACACCGGACAGTGGGATTGCAATTTGCAATCTGGCAAAGAAAGGTCCATGCTGTTGAGGGGTTCTGCCTCTTAAAAGAATTCAAACCTATAATATCCCTATAGAATTCCTGTATAATCCCTATATACACTGTATAACCCTTGTATAACCTGTATACCCTAAACCTAAACTCAAAAGCCTTAAACTCTAAACCCTAAACCCTAAGTCCTATACTGCAAACCCTAAGCCCTAAAGCCCAAACTCCAAACCCTAAACCCAAAGTCCTAAGCCCTACCCTGAAGCCCTAAGCCCTAGGCCCTATACCTTACAGAGGCCTTCTCGGCGGCTTCATAGACGAGCCCACCGGCAGAGGGATGAACCCAGGCGTATTGCTTTGCTGTTGCTCGCAGAAAAAATCAACCACAGAGTAGCAAGAATGACAACGAGGACAAATAGGAAGAAGAGAGATAATAAGACCAATGCTGAAAATAGTGATCATCTTAACAAGATCAAGCCTGACAGTAAAAATAGTGAGAATAGCGGTGATAAAACCGCTGCTGAAAATAGTAATCATCTTAACAATACCAACCCTAATAATAGAAGAGAGGCATCGGAATCCAACTGAGCCAAGCGGGGACTACAGTCCCCCTTTAGAAGATAGAATATAGGTCGGGTATATTGTAAAAGGATCCCCATATACCCCATATTATATCTACTTAAGGGGGACTATAGCCGTTCAGAAAGCGATGGGGACCCGGCGCGTGATGCCAGCAAGCTGGAGGAGAAGGCCAGCAGGCCTTGGAGGTCCTCAGCGCTACATGCCGATCGGCCTTCCTTCCTTATATGGGGTTAGTCCAGAATAAAAAGCATATAATACCCATATACTCTAGGGATTCTATAATAAGGCTATATACTGGGGCTATATTGGGATAATGGAAACTCAAGTGGAAACTACATAGGGTTAAATGTACTCGATAATATATTCCCTTGTTCCCCCAGTACGCTGCAAGCACTGGCATTGCAGCAAGTGAGCTGGCACACAATGGAAGCACTTTTAGGCGGTTTCGCGCTCGGCTGCAATGAGATGTTTGGCATCCAGCCGGGAACCGGGCCCTAAACCCTAAACCCTAAACTCTAAGGGGGCAGAGCTCTTCCCTTCCACTGACATGGCTGACTCCGTGGCAGCTGGGCTGTTGGTAAGGAGCTTCCAAAAAAAAAGTGCGACCCTTGGCTTGTGCAATTAAAGTGGGTCTGAATCTGAACTGTACACAATGACTACTTGGAGGGTCAGTGGGACTCAGCAAGTACACTTATACTCGCATTCAGTCACCCCAGGTATGTGCCCAATATAGCTTAATTAAGGAACACACCTTAAGTTATGCTAGAGCCCCTAATATGGTTCAAAATATATTCCTTACTGAAACTATATTGGGCTCCCTGGGCTACTAAGTCTGCCAGAACCCTGCAAGTAGTTGCCTACTTGAAGGGTCATGGAGACCTGGTAAGTTGGGTAATACATCACCGCATAGTGGGGATATTTGAGCTACTGTCTAAACTCCTAGTATCCCCCTTAACAACCCCTGTAGTAGTCCCCTATATAATCCCCTTATAACCCCCTTTAAGGAGTTTAGACTATGGCTCTATTAACCTACTTACCAAGTCCCCCAAAACCCTCCAAGCAGTCGCCTAGTCACAAGAAGGTACCATGAAGCAGGAGCTGAGCGCCCAATGTCAGTTTGAACCTGCGGGACGCACTCAGGGGTTAGGGTTCAGGGCTTAAGGCTTATACCGTTTAAGGTTTAGGTTTGAAGGTTTAAAATTTCGGGACTAGGGTTTAGGGTTTTTGGTTTATCAGATTTGGGGGCTCAAGGTTTAGGCTTTAGGTTTAAGGTTTAGGGTTCAGGGTTTCCGGATAGTATGCTCTTTTTGCTGAAGGTTAGTAGGAAATCAAGGCATGGAAAAGAAAATGGATAATTACTACTATACTACCATATTCGGAATTCTCCATTTCCCACTGACAACCAGTTCTTTGGATGGGGACATAGGGTTGAAGAACTTGTAAGGGTTAGGGTTTAGGGCTTAGGCATTGGAATTTCTCCCCTAAACCCTCAACCCTAAACCCTAAACCCTAGACCCTAAACCCTAAACCGTCTACTACGGCCATGGCCTCCTGATGCACTCCGTCACTGATGGCAGAGTCTTCTTCTGACGTGGTCGCTGCACAGGCTTCCTGAGTTCACTGGCATGATCACACCACATTGGATCTAGAACCCAGGGTCTAGAATGGCTTAGGCTTTAGGTTTGGGGGTTTAGGTCTTAGGATGTCGGGTTTGGGATTTAAGGTTTAGGGCCTCACGGCAGAAAAGCCTTGTGAAAAAAATGCCCAGACACTTCAGGGCCTTCAGATTGACAAGTGCTCCGCGATCCCTCAGATGAAACAGCTTGCACATTGTTCTGAGCCATCTGGAGGCCGTACCGATGCAAAGGTTCCTCGCACTCAGAACTGCGTTCGCAAGAGCCCGCTTTAGCACTGGAGATCTTTGGAGGCAGGTGGCCTCCTGGTTTAGCAAGCGGTGCTTCGTCGGGAACTGGATTGTCGCTGCCGCTGTTGCTGATATACAAAGGTAGAGAAATTTCACTGAAGTCCGGCAGGCCCGTGTCTTCCTCAGGTGGATCTCCAGAATCATGGGCAGGCTCAGATTCCAGCAGCTCGTGGAGTTTGCATTCCACTGCGGTAATGGGCACCTTGACAAGGGCTTGCTGCACGAGGCGGCGCTGTGAAACGGTGCTGGGCCGGGATGTCTTCAGCGCGGCAGATAGAGCCGTGACTGACAACCACAACACGTCCTCGCGCTCACTGAATCGTATTGCCTCTTGCACCGCAGCTGCAACAACTGGATCCATTGAGTCCTCACTGCACTGGGGATGTGACAACGCAAGCCTCAACAGGATGTCGTGGGCTGGCTCTGCTGCATCTACTCGCGCAAGCGGAGGGATCAAACTCTTCCAGGGCAGAGCTGCAGGATTGATCTTGGCCAAGATTTCCGCGGCATGCCGCCGCGAGAATTGGTCTTTGTCGTTCAGCACTTTGAGCAGCTGCAGAGAAACTTCACCAGGACCCATCTTGCGCAAGGCCTCTATGGCCTGTGTAGCTCGAAAGCGCACCGAGGCGTGTTCGTCCTGCAGCGCTTTGAGCAGCTGCGGCACTGCTATTGCTGCTGCAGGACCCATCCTGCCCACGGCCTCTACAGCTCCACCGCGCACGTCCTCATTCTGATCCTCCAGCACGCTGAGCAGCTGAGGCACAGCTGCAGGACCCATCCTTGCCAAGGCCTCTGCCGCCTGCCTGCGCACAACAGCATCGTCATCCTCGAGCAATTCAATCTGCTCCCGCATACCTTCAGCTGCTGCGCAACTGAGAGCCTTCTTGTTCTCACAGGGACTAGCCCAGTCAAAGAGCCCATCCCAGGGAACGCGAACAGCCGCGAGCAAGCTTCGAGGTATTAGTGCAAACCAGGAAGTGGAAGCCTCCGAAGAGCTTGGCACAGCCTTCGGTCCATAACGACCATCAGAGCTGTGTGCAGCGGGAATCCTTGTCTGTTGCCTTCGGGCTCGCATCCTTTCCCACCCCCTCCCCTATCATGAACCGTCGCCGCCCCCTAGTAACAAACAGCGCCGATACGATACTAGCCAAAAATCAGGAGGAAACCTTGTCCTGAAAAGATTGGGGTGCATTGTTTTATCGTATTAACCTACTGTAAACCCTGAACCCGAAACAGCTCGGAGCCAAAGGCGAACGGATGCGCTGGGCTCCGAAAGGGGGTCGGAAAGTACCTATACAGGAGTTATATGGGGGCCCCAAATTCAGGGCCCCTTTGTAGGGGTCCCCATAAAAAGATTTACTCTTGTGGCCCTATTATGGGAAGCTATTAGAGGACTATACGAAGCTTTTTTATGGGGGGATATTACCAGCATGAAGAGTCAAAAGGAAATGGGACGCCCTGCCTGGAGGGTCATGTGGACTTAGTAAGTAGGTTAATAACCTCTGTAAGCCATATAATCGCCCAATTATCCCCACTATGAACCTACTTACTACGCCCCCGTGACCCTCCAAGTAAACCCTTGGTTCTAACACCCGATACCCTAAACCTTCAAACCCTAAACCCCTGAGCCCTAAACCTTAGTAGGATAAGCCTATAGGGGCTGTACAAGGTGTGAAGGAACCTGAGTCAGCTTTGCCCTTGCCCTATGTCCATAATATGAGATAGAGTCTCAACTCCTTATTAAGGGGGGTACATAGGAGATTGTATTGGGGAATATTATAAGGCCTATAAAAGGGGACACTAGGAATGTGGACAATAGCTCAGTATATGTATTCATTGAAGTTCCTTAACCGCAGCCCCGCAAAAACCGGCATTAATTCAGAACCTGACTATGCAGCAAGTGTGGACCCCTAAACATCCCTAACTCCCGAACCCAAACCCCTGAATCCTAAAACAAACTCGAACATCCCGAAACCTTTGCATCCCAAACCCTAAGCCCTAAACCCTCTGTCTTGCGACCCCTAAAATTTCCGCTAGGCTGCTGTAATTAGTAACTAGGTTGGGGCCTACCCTAAACCCTAAACCCCAAGCCCCATACCCTTTCCCCTAAACCGTAATCCCTAAACCCCAAACCCTAAACCCCAAACCCTAAACCCCACACCCCAAACCCTAATCCCTAAACCCTAAACCCTAAACCCTAAGCCCCAATCCCTACACCC